TCTGAACTTGTAGAAGGATGTAAAAGAGCTCAAAAGAGAAAGTGAGAGTTTAGGTTGAATGGGCTCATGGAGTGGAAGAGGAAGAATTGACGACGCGACTAGCTGCTGCCGCTTTGTTTGTTTACTTTAATAGCAATGCTGTCATTAAGAAAAAACTTTAGTTTAAATGAAGTTTTAGATTTGAGTACTGTATTTAACGATTGTGCATGGAACTTGCATGTAGGCAATGCTTGAACTCGGGTAATTGCTGTAGATTTCACACTCCTACTCTGATGACATTGTTATATTTTGCACGAGTCTGTTATGTTGTTATTACTCTGCACAAGCTTTTTTTGCTGTTAGTAAAGGCAACTGTGAAGAAAAGAATTTAAAGAAGCCCATAAAAGTTTAAAACCTCAAATAGGGAGAAACGCCGATAATTCTGGGTCTAACTGCTAACAGCCACGCTAAGCAATTTAATTGCTGCCTAAGCTTCACATAGTGGATTCGAATGGGATGAGTATTTGTTTCCTTTATAATATAAATCGCGCTGCGAGCTCGTGCGACTGGGTAGATGTTTTCGCATGCTCGTTTCTGATAGATAATGTGTAGGAAGTCGATACGCAGTTAAGTACTAAGCTCATTTGTCTTTTGATTGGTGACACTAAAAGGCAACCTAAAGCCCCTATGCTATCAGGAACAGTTTTGATCCGAAGAGCGATTTTGATCATCGCTAACAAGAAAGAGATACTGAGTGACCTTGGCCAAATAAAATAAGAGATGTATCGCTAAATGCGTCTCAAGACGCTGTTTTCAAATGTCTTTCTTATTTGCTGAACGATTCTTTGAAGGAAGTTATAGAACTTTCTTTTCGCAAAAAACAGGTGCACAACTTGCGTTTACTGGTTGAGAACTCCAAAATCACCAAAAACAAGAGGGTGAGGTGAAAGCTAATTGGTTGTGAGGTTTACTCTATTTAACAAATGAATTTACGGCGTATGTCTACAGCAAATTTTGAGTGTTTAAGCAATGAATGAGCATATCGTACAGGAAATTTTTTCAAGTTGCGTAACTTCCTACAAAGAGCCATTTTGTGTAAAAGGAAGGCAGATATAAAATTTGTAAAAGGAAGGCAGATATAAAATCACCTTTTTTAAACGCATTTAGTGTTATGCTTCT